CCAGCCTGGGTAACAAGAGCGAAACTCCGTCTCAAAAAAAAAAAAAAAAGTAATAGCAAACTACTTTAAATTGGTCCATTTACTGATCTTTACACTGTTTAATTAGCTTCATCAGGGAGTCTTTGGCAGCTGGATTCATTACTCATCAGTTTCCTAGATGCTAAAAAATTATGTATCTATACAAAATTAATATGTCTCTGAATTCAGTTTATGTTGTCTTCATTATTTGGTTCATTTCTCTCAGTGTCTAAAATAAGGTGGTGTGACCCCTCTTTAGGGGAACTGAACTGTTGGGTTCAGTTTTCTTTACTCTTCCATCTGTTCTATTAGGGTTGTATCAAGGTACTTTTTCTCTGGATCTGGAATACTTTGGTTCAATTCCTGCATAAATTGGCTCATATTTCTGGGTATTTTGTTTATTCTGGATTAATAAACAATAACAGTATAATCTCCCTATTCACCTATCTCTCTACTGGTTTATTTTCTGTTTTTTCCCCGTTCTTCTCTGGTCCCTATTTATACTTTTATTCAGTTAACTTTTATTGTAACACCTACCTTGCTACAAAGAAGTCACAGGAAGGAGAGGCAGCTCTGCAAATAAAATGCAGTGTGATTAGTGCTGTAATGGAGCTATAAGTTCAAAGAGCTTCTCTCATAACCCAGAGCATATTCCCCAAAGTTCAGTCACCACTGTGCCTTTCTTCCCTTCATTATTCTGCATCATTATTCTACATTCAACTCAAGACAGCTTTTCTGCTTTTGAGACTTTAACATTTCTATGCTGATGAGACTTATTTTTTTCCCTTCTTGATCACTGACATGTCTCCTAAACTCCAGTGGAATAGCTTGGAATGTCAATCAGACTATTCCATTTGAGAGTTCCTCTGAAATACCATGTGTAACATGCCTAAAATGGGGTTCATTTTCTTGAAATGAACTTACTGTGTAATGTCTGCTTTCCTTTCAGTGTTACTGACATTCTTATAATTCTCCAGGGTTAAAAATCTTGGCTTTTATGGTGGGGGAGAAGTTTCTCATTTTTTGTTTCCCCATTATGGAATTGATTTTCTGTTAACTCTGCCTTTATAATACAGAATTATTGCTTATTAATTTAAACGTAACTTTACATTTTTTCCTTAAAGATTTCTTATTTATTATTAAAGTACCTCATACCAGATTTGAGGCCTTCTGTCAATAGGATAATCTCCTCTACTTTGAAGAATAATGCCCATTAAGATAGATAAATTTTTATGTGTTTGAAAAATTGTCACTGTCATATTAAATGTGTGCTACTAGTCTGCATTGAATACTTATCCACTTAGATACAATTCCATTTAGATATTCATTTATGTGTGTACTTATCCATTTATATAGAACTATTTCTATCATAAGTGTCTATTTAGTGAAATATGATCGTTTCAGTTTGTCCTGCTTGCTCAGGTCTACTTCCTAACATATGCTTATTCAAGTGAGGAAAGGAAAGTAGATGGAGGAATATGAAAAAAAGCCATGTTTATAGATCTCTATTTTGCTGTTTTTTCCTGTTTCTTCTATTAATATTATTTTTATTTTAATCTTTTTAAAATAGCTCCTAATTTCCATGTTTATTGCCATTACTTTATGGGCAATTATTTTAAAAAGATGTGAAAGTGTTTTTCCCAAAATAGAAAATCTACAGTCTTATTTTTTCTTCATAACACCGGATAAGAATACCACTCCTTGTAAACAGGGAGGACTGCTTTGCTGTTGATATATGGTTACATGGTTGTGATAGTTCTGTTTTTGCCTCTTACCTATACTGTTTTTGCCACCCTTTTGGTGTCAGGGAGACTTTTTTATTGTTGTTTCATTGTTTTGTTTTTTGGAGACAGGGTCTTGCTCTGTTTTCCAGGGTGAAGTGCAGTGGCATGACCATAGTTCACTACAGCCTTGACCCCTTGGGCTCAAGGGATCTTCCCACTTAGTAACAGCCTTCTGAATAGCTGGGACCACAGGTGTGCACCACCATGCCCAGCTAGTTATTTTATAGAGATGGGATCTCGCCATGTTGCCCAGGCTAGTTTTAAATTCCTGCTCAAGCAATCCTTCCACCTTGGCCTCTCAAAGTGTAAGGATTACAAGTGTGAGCCATCATGCCCAACCTGTTTATTTTCAAGTTCACTTTGTCCTCTTTGTTAATTTATTGGGAAAGAGCAATTGACAGGTTAGAGTGATTGACAGGTCCAGGCTTTCTCAACATTGAGTAAGAAACAGTGGTGAGCTATTGAATGTCTGACATAAGTTTGTTTTTTAAGAAAGTCTGAGATTCTTGTATTCAAAGAATTAAAAATCTATTATAATTTTATATCTTACAAAATCAGCAACTCTAAGGTTCAGAATTTATCTAACGCATTTCCCCCCAGGAGCTCGTTTTGTAGACATGATCTC